ACCGCACATAATCATTCTCGCGTAGTCAGTTATGGTAACTTATGTTGTACACTTGTTATTTTTTTAGCTTCAAGAATAACAAGCTTGAGTTAAATTATTATTATTTTCTTACTGCGATACTCAGAGACGTGTAATAATTGCTTAAACATAACAACATAACATCACGCCTTTTATCCTCAAAGGGGTAGGCAGAGGCGCACATTATGCCACTGTACAATGTAACACCCACTTTTCACTATTTATGTTATGAGTCCCATGTAATAGGGGGTGAGCCTATTGCCATATACCGGGCACAGTTCCAGACTCCGTGCTACTACTGAGAATTTTTTAAAAACCCAGTAATACTTTGCCCGACCCGGGAATCGAACCCGAGACCCCTTGCTTAAACTATTCCTCGGTAACGATTTTATTCCAAAAACAATTGCTAAGGACTGGGTTAATTACCCATTAAATGACTCTGAGTACGGCGGTAAGTTATATTCAGAAAAAAAAGAAGCGTAATGATTTGGTTCTCTTAGTAATTTGAGAAAAAAAAATTAAACTCGTTTAATAGTCGATTTTCAGGGTATTTGAATACTCGTAATTGCTGTAACATAGTACCTTTTTAATCTACTTTAAAAAAAGAAGGGAGCATTGTCAAAGTCAAAGCATTTATTTCAATTAATTACTTTTGAAAGGTCAAAATTGAAAGCATTACATCAAAACAATGTGTACTGAAAGTCTGGAGCTGATCTATTTTGACGTTTTTTTAAGACGGGAAAATCATCGAATGTCTGCTCCCGCCTGGGTGAGGCGGCAGGGAGTATCCGCGACTCCGCGACTCCGTATTTTGACGGGCCACTGAGGTGGTCTTGGTTAGATAAAAATTCCCCTTTCCCTAGTCTTTCACTCCAAAAACTAGCACCCTGTTGATGTTTCCCATCGCTATTAACCATTAAAAAAATGCATTATAATTCCAGCACTGCAGTTTTAACAAGAGTGTTGCTATTACACGAGTGGATTGTATGAGAAATTACACAGTTTAGTGTTACTCTTAGCCGTAGTAATTCACAGTTGTTTCTTTAGATGACAGAAATACAAACAGTTACACGGCCACGGGATCGATATAAGCGTGTGAGCACAGTAGCGAAAGTACGCTAAACGCGGAAGTTGCGCGGACGCACCGCGCATGCTAATCATGCGCATCTTAATGCTTATATATTGTGTACTTATGTAAGTGGTGGCTAATGTCACCGACTTATAGTCATAACATAATACACCACGTTGGAGGCAGTAGCTTAGTGAATAATTAAAAGTATGATGAAATCTTATTTATTTATTACATAACATCACGCCTTTTATCCCCGAAGGAGTAGGCAGAGGGGCACGGTTACGGCACTTAATGCCACTGTACAATGTAACACCCACTTTACAGTACTGTTATGAGACCCATGTATGAGGGGTGAGCCTATTGCCATAATTATACCGACCATATTCGCAGACTCCATGCTACTATTAAGTTTTAAAAAATATTCCTGTTATACTTTGCCCGACCCGAAAATCGAACCAGAGACACCTTGCCCGGCAATCGCACTTGCAACCACTTGGCCAACGAGGCAGTCAAAATTGGTTAATTTATTTCCTAAAATAAATTTCCTTAAGGGATTTTTTTTAAGGGGGGGAAATCATCGAATGGCTGCTCCCGCCTGGGTGAGGCGGGAGGGAGTGTCAGACTCGTACTGACTAAAAACCACACCGTTCCTTCTCCTGCACGTCGAGCCGGAGCCCCGGTTACCCGTTACGTTCTCCGCGACTCCGAATCGGCATCAGCCCTGTTAGACCCCATCCGTGGTGGTCTGATGGCTCTTTGAGGCGCGCCGCACCTCCTCCTCCTCCTCCTCTTCCTCCTCCGTCCTCAAGGCATAGGACTTATTTTATTGTACTAATTTGGACCACCAAATAGATTTGTCAGATAGAACGAGAGAAATGAGCATGACTTCAGGTACTATCTTAATTTATGTACACGGGTCCATAGGAAGAAATTGCAATAGGAATAGGTGGTACCTTTGTAGGTACTTCAATTTGATTTATGTGTTGTCCTTTGTGTTGTATGTGTGTAAATTAAATAATAAATAAATAAATATTTTTTTGAGAATCAGGCATCTTAATATCCGTTGAAAGATACACAAGGGTGCAAGACACCATTGCACCAATCTGACACCAAAACCGCTGTTTATTCAATCAACTTTTTCCAAGTGGCATTTTTCTATCTTGAATGGATAGCTGTTCAACGACCAAGTGCCACAACATTAACTATAATAATAAAAAAATGACTGCACGGTTGGTGCAATGGCTGGGCAGCCGGCTGCCGTGCAGCGTGCCGCGGGTTCGATTCCCGCACGGAACAACACTTAGTGTTGTAAACGCACCCACGACACAGGAGAAAATCCTAGTGTGGGGCAACGTTTTACTTTTCAGAGATGAACGAGCAGCTCCATCGAGACTTAGCTAGTTTTTACAGAATGTTTTTGATTAATACATATTGTATATTAAAAAATACACGTGTAAAACTGCAACGTCTAAGCCCCAATGAGTATAGAAGCAAAGCGTACCTAATCGCTTTGCGCATTTTAATTCTAAATACGTTATTGAGACGTTTACGTATAGGTACTATTATTGATTACGTTTGGCGACGAGTGTATGACGGATTGATAAAGAAGAGATTTTTTTATTTTACTGAAAACTGCTAAATCCGTGCCAATCACCTGGTGCCATTTGATCGTCGACTTCAGGGACACTCTATATAGGGGATTAGTCATGATTAACATTATCGTATCAGCCACAAGACGTCCAATACTGAAACTAGGTCTCTTTCCATTGAAGGAGAATCTGAAAGTCATTACTTAGTTAGAGGATATCTACATCCAGCTGCTCCCTGTAGCCTATGACCTCTATTTTTTTTTAAGGGCGTAAAATCATCGAATGACTGCTCCCGCCTGGGTGAGGCGGAAGGGAGTGTCAGACTCTTACTGACTAAAAACCACCCCGTTCCTTCTCCTGCACGTCGAGCCGGAGCCCCGATTACCCGTTAGGTTCTCCGCGACTCCGAATCGGCATCGGCCCTATTGGGCCCCATCTGTGCTCTCTTGGGACCTCTATTAGAACGTCAAATATAGGAGCTGAGAATTCATAAACAACGCAAATTTCATACATTCCCAATACATTCATTTTCTTATATTTCTACTAAGATCTACTACTTTATTAAGCAAAAAAATGCAAATTAACAAAAATACAAAATTAAAATATGCAAATAATAAAAATCTTCGCCACTTTGACATGAAAACTGTAATATAACATAACGGCTCGGTAACGATTACATGACATGCGCACATAATGTGCCAAGTGTTAATTTCATACAAAATTAATGGTAAACCATTAAACTTTGAGCATGGTAATGATTTAACAGAAATTTAAAAAAAGAATGCACATAATTTTTGGATTGTTTTTTTTTTGTTACTAAGTTATGTCTGACATTCGCAAAGATAAGCCGTCTTCTTTTTGTGGACAGGGTGTTTGAAATCTTCAAAACATTTTTACTTTTTTATTTAATTGCAAATTTTTTTTTCAAAAAACTTGGACAAAAAGTAATTTAACTTACGAATATAATATACTACTACTGCTATTCTAAAAATGTAAAATAAATAAATTAAGTATAGCAATATAAATCAAATTAACAAACTTATCACTATATTATACCATTTCTTTCTAACTGAACGGTTGGTGCGGTGGCTGGGCAACCGGCGACCGGCTGCCGTACAACGTGTTGCGGGTTCGATTCCCGCACGGAATAACACTTTGTGTGATCCACAAATTGTTGTTTCAGGTCTGGTTGTCATTGTGTATGTGAACTTGTATGTTTGTAAACGCACCCACGACACAGGAAAAAATCCTAATGTGGGGCAACGTTTAAACCAAAATTATTTAATAAGGTTTCCTATTCTCCCACCAAAAGTTTAAGAATTACGATCTCAGTCTAATCAAAATCTTCAACCGCTCATCTAAACCAAACTGAGCAAAATGATGCTCATCGGCGACCAGACTACAGGAGCAAAGAGGTCAATATTTGCAATATATCTAGTTGATATTTCTAGGCAATACTTATTGCCATTCAATACAGTAAAGCCTATTTGATATGTAACTGTCGTGTTACACCTCATGTTTTAACATTTTGACGCCTAAAATTATTGCAAAGCGGGTTTTTAGATCTCTGGGCGGTTCTAAATTGTTTTTCTCTTTTTATTTTTGACCTTATGAAATGGACTATTTCAGATTGTTTTATTTCCTATCGTAATACCATCATGATTTATGAAAATACTCTCATTACTAGTAAGATGTTAAGAAACGATGGCTGAGCCAAAGCATGGCTATAATAAAGTCATTGGCTACGCACACTATTTCTTTTTTTATATTAATATATTGTATTTCTCCATGGACTTGTGTCCGTGCCCTTGTAATAAAAACACAGCACTATTACATTAAGTATGCATTATAAAGTAGGACAAATGTATTAAAATGTTAACATAATGACAGAAAACATTTAAAATAATAGATAATTACGATTTAATGTACCTAGTGATAATTATTGCGCATCGACCTTTGGAAAGAGACATTCAGCTAAGTCGCTTATTATATTGCTCAGGATTATCAGCATCTGGTCTAGCCCTGTCCTCGAATTGCCTGAAAATTTAAAAAGAAAAAGGTTTGTAAAAAAAATTACATAATCTTTTTCTAATTTCAATATTTTGTACCAACTTTATATTTACGACTGCACCATTGACTGCCTTCTACACAATGTGTTGCGGGTTCGATTTCCGTACGAAATAATTCTTTGTCCTCTGCAATCTGTGGTGTTCGAAATTGGGTAGGTAGGATGTAGGAATTCACGTTTTCTATAAGATGAATGAAAAAATGAAATATTATTTAATATAATTTTGACACACCATTTATATTTCTCCCGACCAATGAACCCCAAAAAAGAAAGCAATGCCCGACGTAAGGTCAGGGCTGGAAGAGTAGGTCGCTGTCACAGCTAGAATAATAACACAGTGCCGAACGTTCATACATACATACACTTCCTTACCGGCAGACAAACGGACGCACCTGAGCCTGCATGCTTGGGACACTGGAAAAAAAAATAAAAAACAACTGTCAAAGTTTTGCCGCCAGAACTTGAGTTTGAATTTCGAATCAGTGTATCGTCCTCAAACAGTTCGCTCTCTTTCCTCTTAACTAGAAGATATCAGAGCAAACTCTTCGCCTCAGTTACTGGAAGACGTTGGTGAACTTCAAAAATGTTCAGTGCAAGAATGAGTCAAAGATTGGTGGTAGTGTACCTCTGCATAGCGTCAGTGTTCAGTGCTCCAATGCAGCTGCCGTTCCTGCCGATGCAGTATGGGATGAATCCTCAACTGCCATTCTTGAGGCAGATGACTCCGAATTTGCAGTCACCCTCACTGTAAGTACTTAGTGGTTTTTAGGGGGTAAAATCATCGAATGTCGTCTCCCGCCTTAATGTCAGACTCTTACTGACAAAAAACCACCCCATTCTTACTTCTGCACTTCGAGCCGGTGCCCCGGTAACCTTTTACGCTCTCCGCGGCTCCGTATCGGCATCAGCCTTATTGGGCCCCATCCGTGGAAGTATCTAGTGTAGAATCCTTCAACTCCAGAATCGAAAATTCAAGTAAAATTCAGGATGAAAACGAGATGTTACATTTTTGTGCTTGTTGCCCTTCCATGTGTATGAGATGAGTAACTACCCCTTTTTTAAAAGTTAATGGATCCCGTTATTTCTAACACTATTTACTGTACTATATACAATTTCCTTTTAAAGAATGTCTTTTTATACAAGGTCCTATTAGCTTGGCAAAGTAAATATTTATTGTCCTACAAAACATAAGTGCTTACTTTGCAGGATGTGCGAATAAGGTACAGCGACTAGATCTTTACACTCTGAATTTAAACCATGCAAACATGGGTACGGCAAAAACGATAGAAAAATTAGCAAAGTTACTTTTATGGTTGTGTATATGTACACAACCATAAAAGTTACTTTATTAAACCATAAAAGGTACAAATGTGTACCTACTTTTGTTTTTTGTAACTTAGACGCAGTTTCTTTTGAACAAGACTACAAATTCTTCATACATTGCATTATTTGTTGAGTGGCCGCTGAAATGCTAGCTAAGCCCGAGTTCAATTCAGACAAATATTGTTAAGTTAACAACACCAAATTTAAATTAGTACGGTGTACTTAATGACAATTTATATTAACAGATTCAATAACTTTATGTGCAATTGAAGCTACTATTGAAACTTACCATTTAACCCAAAAACATTTGGCATAATTCATAGATACAAGCTAAACATGACAATTTTCCAATTCCAGGCTCCCACAACAGCAGCCATTGGTAATAGTCCTACCTAACGCAGCACCCGGCGCAGAAACTGACGACAGATACGTGAACTTAAACGAACAGTTGAACGCCAACCTTAAAAGTGCAGGACACGTAGATGAGAACAAAGATGCTGTAGTCATTGACGCTAATGACCCTAAAGCACCAGAAATGCAGACCAAGAACGCAGTAGTCTACCTTCCTAATGAAGGCAGATACTCCATAGGACAAATCATCTCATACATCCCATTCCTGCCAATAGAAATTAATGTACCAGACACCATCTCTTGGATCACCCATCTGCTGACTGGAGGAATATTCAGACCAGGACCAGCACAGGCTCCTGTAGGCATGAAGACTCTTCCCAACAAACCCCAAGTTCCATTGATAGTGATGCCTTACCCTGGTCTCTTGCCGAATATGAATCAATAAGTGACTGCAGTACTCTGGGAGCGAGGAAGACTGACTGTAATTTATTAATAGCAGTGATTAACGTTTCTGCTGCTATAGTAATAGCGAATGGTGTTAAATCAGGGTTGTGTCCATAATATAATTTAAAAACTTTAAATAAGTGTACTTATTTTTCTATCACAGTAATTATTGGCAATAACTGTGGAACTTTATAGCTTTGTCCGAGTTTGAAATCAGACCAGGTGTTACCCGTGATTAGAAATAATAACACTCTTTATGCAAAATGCTTTATTATTATAGAAAATAATAAAATTACAATTTGCTACAGTTAACTGAGGCCTTAAATAAAATACATATATTTTACAATACAGCTAGGCGTATGGTAACAAAACTTAACTTTTAGCATGATTGAGTTCAAGAGTCTAACCAGGTGGAAGCGACATTCTAAAAACTAACCTTTAATTCTGTTAATAACTTTAAACAGGTTACACTATCAAACTCCAATCATACTTTTATAGAAGATACAATCAATCCAAAGTAGCAAAAAGAATAAAAACACATAACATAAAAGACAAATAGATTTCAATCAAAATTCCACTTTCAATTTTGCTACTTAGGATATAAAAGGCGAAGCGATTATTTCGCTCCTAAAATGGCAACGTATGTAGTACAGGTCGATAATCTAATGACAAAACATTTAGTACGCTCGTAATTAGGTTACTAGTGTCATACAAACTACCTCATTAGACTATCGGCTAACTAAGGGACTCATAAAACTAATATCATGATGACCATTTTGGTTCCAACCTACTGAACTATCAATGAGCGAAACCAAAGAACTATCGAACGCCTAGAAAGTTTACGACAACTTATAGTTTCAAATGAACGATGAATTAAAACAGTGATATAAAGTCGAAGCAGGTACTTTTGACTTTTTAGTATTAAAATTAAGCATTTGATGACAATAAATAGTCGAAACTTTCTACGGGTTAACTAATAACTAGACATCTTTGAATTATTCAAAAATGTCAAGGTTCAGTTATTTATTGGTGGCCAACTCCAACGGTGTCGTGGTCAACGGGGTAGTTGGACGCCTCCAAGTCCTTCTTGGGGACGATGATGGAGACGGGGTAGGTGAAGCTGTAGAAGAAACCGTGAGGGGGACCCTGGAACAAAACATGCACTAGTTAGTTAAGAGATAAAAGTAGGTACCTATAGACAGATTAATACTTAGAAGATAAAGGTAGAGAAAACCTAAATTAAAAAGTTGTTGGTTAACTGGATGGTAGTACTTATTACAAATTGAACATTACTGCCTCATTGGCCGAGTGGTCGTAAGTGCGACTGCCGGCCAAGGGGTCTCGGGTTCGATTCCCGGGTCGAGCAAAGTATTACTGGGTTTTAAATATTCTCAGTAGTAGCACGGAGTCTGGAATAGTGTCCAGTATATGGCAATAGGCTCACCTCCTATTACATGGGACTCATAACATAAATAGTAAAAATTGGGTGTTACATTGTACAGTTACATATGCACCTCTGCCTACCCCTTCGGGGATAAAAGGCGTGATGACGTTATGTAAACATTGAACACAGTTTAGAAAGGGATATTGATAAAATAATCTCAAACATAACATTGAACTAAGTACTCACAGTAGGTTCAGGTTCTTCGTATTTGCCATCAGGACCGACTTGCTGTTCCTGCTGTCCGTATTTCTGTTGTGCGTATTGTTTGCCCTGTTGGTAGGTTTGTGCTTGAGCATACGCTAGGGCTTTGCCATCACGAGCTTGGTTGGCCTCGGGGGCGGCGACCACAACTGCGTCAGGTTCTGAGGCTTGAGCCTGGTAGTTAGCGTATTGGCTGCAAAGAAAAAATTGGTGAGGTATGGAACATTGTCCGTGAACTGGTGAGATGTCTGTTATCTAATGCATTACGTCAAATACAAGACGAAATCAAATCTTTGATTTTAGTTGGATATTTTAAATTTCTTTAGTTTCTAAACCTATAATTCTAGTTCTCTACAAACTGTAAACCAACATAGCCTAAATTAAACGCATCTATCTATAATCTTGGTCCAATTAATTTAAAATACAAAAATAAATACTTACTTAACGTTGATGGCGGGCTGGACGGTGGGTTGGTGGGAGTTGGCTTCAGCTGCCTCCTTCCATGCCTTTTCGAAAGCAAGACGGGCTTCCCTAAGAGCTGGGGTCTCTTCAGCGGGTTTCAGCTCTACCTTGGGAAGGTTGTCTTCCTGGTGGAAACCTTGGCTGTCAGCCCAGTAACGGACCTAAAAATGAAAGAATAATTGTTATGATATTGAGCTATGTATGCTACGAATGCAATTATTTTTTTAAATTTGATTATAAACTAAATTAGTTATATCATGTTCATAAATTGAAGCACAAAGTTCATAATGTAAGTTCATACTTAATGACATAACATTGTTATAAACGCCATCTAGTAGTTTCTGAGTGAAATAGCTATACAACAACTAGTCGTTCATTGTTCACATAATATTACAATTTATTTACCTTGACGAGATCCTTCATTCCGGGGACTTGGTACACGTAGGATCCTTGGACGACTCCAGAACCTTCACGGTTCTCAACCTTCGAGGATTCAGGGGTCTCGTATCCGTAGGCGTAATTACCTAGACCGTCCTGGCCGTGGTACTGGGCTGCGTCGTAGACCTAGAAAATAAAAATAAAATTATAATAAACCACACCAAAATACCGAGTAAAGCCTGCCACATGCGGACTGCTCAAGCAGTTACCCAGTGGTAAACATACACGGACCATCACCACTATTGCAAACAGAATAATATCTTGACGCTGCCACTGATAACGTCTCAAGCCTTTAGCTTGTTTACCGCTCGAGCAGTTACCAATTTCATCAATTAATTAGTAGGTACCATCATGAACTTTTTCGACCACTGGGCAATAAGAGAAGGATTATTTTATTTCGTTACCTCTTCTAAGTAGTCTTCTGTATTCTTGATCTCCTCTCCATTCTTCCAGTAGTGTCCAAGGGTTGGGCCAGCTTCAGCTGAACGAAACCTAGGGTCATCGTAACGAACCTGCAATTAAAAGACAAAAATGATGGCTTCCAAATTCAAACTAATAACAAATTTGCAGAATAATCAATGAAGCTCGAAATTCACTCTTATCATTTCTAAATCTTTTGGTATAAGTGTACACAGATTGTTACATGTCATACATTAGTATTGAACAGGTTTCTTAAGAGGGTAGTGAATAGGTTTCTTAAGGGTCGGCAAGACGCATGTAATGCCCCAAGTGTTGCAGGCGTACATAGGCCACGGTAAACGCTTACCATCAGGTGGGCCGTGTGTTTTATTGCAACCGTCGTGGGATAAAAAAAAACACGCAAGAGATGAACAGGTACCGACCATGTCACATCTGTATGAAATATGCTGACGGCCAGTTGCTGTTAAAAGTAATGAATGACTAGGGAACACGCAACGCAATGACGTCAAAGTTACCGTTATTACAAATTGTAAATTAGAACGTCATGCGATATAAACAAAGGGATGAAACAAAGAGGGTGTACATAAGTATGTTGTGACTACATGGCTGACGCAGTGGTTGGACACACGTTTCACAGTAGCCAATTGGCTGTTGAAATTGTTGTTCCAGTCTGAGTGTGAGAATTTTGTGGTTTTGTGAACGCGCCCTTAACTCGAGAGAAAATCCTAGAGTGAAGTAAGAAGACTGCCTCATTGGCCGAGTGGTCACAAGTGCGACTGCCGGGTAAGGGGTCTCGGGTTCGATCCCCGGGTCGGGCAAAGTATTACTGGATTTTTCATAAAATTCACAGTAGTAGCACGGAGTCTGGAATTGTTCCCGGTATATGGCAATAGGCTCACCCCCTATTACATGGGACTCATAACATAAATAGTGAAAAGTGGGTGTTACATTGTTCAGTGGCATAAGTAGGTACACCTCTGCCTACCCCTTAGTTATGTTATGTTATGTGAAGTAACTTATTGTCTATTTCGTGGTAACTTACCAGGGGCAGTACAGCGGTGCGTCCAGCGAGCTGGGGTGAGGTGAACGGCAGTTGTTTCAGGTACTGCTGTGCTTCCTCAGGAGTGATGTCATTCTTGAAGATGAAGTTGGACTGGGGCGCGCCTGAGGCGAACACCACCTGTAATAGAGGAGACAAGCGTTTCATTAGTAAAGGGTCATTGAAGTTATCAGTATCTATTTTGTCCCGTATTGAAATTGCAACCCCACTAAGTAAATGTTGCCTTCTTCTTGCAAAATTAAAGTTAACATTTTAATCAAACTCTTTTGTACAATCAAAATTATGTAAAATTTTCTAACGGAACCTAATGTCTAAAGCTTCCATGTTACCAACAACAGACAAGAACTCCGTAATTACCTACTACTTACTATACCTATAAGTGATCAATTACAAATACTAAAAAAACATATGAACAAATCGTTAACATAATTTCAATATCTAATCATCTCTAATTTACAAATAACATACAAAGGTAATATCATGTTAAACAGGATACTTAAGTATCTGAAGGTTAACTTTACAACGACGTATGGATTAAATAAAGATGATCCCAAATTAATAAGTTACTACAAAATGAGTCATCAACGTCTTGAAGGTCATTTCATTCACAACCGGACTTTGAATTGTATATTAAATCTATGATTAATTATTTACTTTTTAAATAAAGACGATGATCTAATTGGAATTGTCAGAAAATGTGTTACGACGTATTGTAAATTGTTGTAAGTGTAATGTATGGTACCTATTATAATATAAAAATTACACAACTAGAAACTCTAAGCCATAAAGCATAAGCATTGTAAATCAGCAGTTCGAATAATAGTTAGTAAATTATTCTAGAAATATTCTTAAAGGAAGAAAATGTCGAGTCGCTTTTATAACACAGACTGCAAAACTCTAAACTTTATTTAAGGCCTTTTCACTTGACGATTGCATCAACAAAAAGCATAAAACAGTCCTTAAAACCTCCTCACTTAGGTATTTGTTAACTCCTATCTTCGATGCAGAGACTATAAGTGAAATCAATTTCGCAATACATGTAGATATGGCAAAGATGAGACGATGATAACTCTGCTAATATCAATGACCATACGCAGTGGCCTTAACATAATTCATGCCTTCGCATCAACATGCATAGATATGACGTCACACTCACATGTTGACACTAACAATTTTCAACTTCATAGTAAATGTGGATTTATTTGGACATTCCATTGTTGATCTACTAACAATTATGAGGAAGAAGTTGTCAAATTATAAACGGTTCCGTATGAGACAAGTTCAGGTAGTAAAACCACTTTAAATGTAGATTTGTTGCTTCCTAATGAAGAACACTATAAATACAGAACTGTTGTTTACTTAGATTACCTATTTAAAAGTTCAGTTTAATAAAAGGATTATAGACTGGAGAGCTCAGTAGGCAGGTATTCATAAGAATTTACCCACCCACTACGTAGTAGTTTATCACAAACTTGCACGAGATATAAAATAAGAGTCCACATTTTTCTGACAGATTATACAACTGAGACTTTTGAGGGCAGTGGTTACGGCCCACATGCTGCAAGAAGTCTCGTATCCTGTTCTTGTCCACGGCAATATTGTATAGAGAGATCTAAATACTCAGAAAATTTGCGAAATCTTCACAAAACTAGGACCACATCAACAAAATTACTCATAAAGGTAATAAATAACAAATACTACGTCTGATTTTGAACACGTGTCTACAAAGTTAACATAAAATGCAGGATGTTTTGATACAACATTATATTTTGATAAATACGTGATGAGATCAGACTCGGTAACTTACATATTCATCTGCTTGTCCGTCTGTCACATTTATTTATAACAAGTACCTACTTTAATAAAGGTAATCTTTATTTAAATCTGGTATCAATTATATATTCTTGTTTATTTTCTATTTCTGCGGTATAATTATGTTTAATATCTATTAGTTATATCCATATTTATGTCCCTCGTTGGTTTAAGTATTGTTAATGGGTTTTTCGGTTTCAAAATTCTCAGAATAAATTATGGCATGGTGTATCAGAAGATTTTACTTCTATTATAGAGTGCCAAAAATTAAATGATCAGTGAACATCTTCACCTATACCTACAAAGAATAACTCTATAATTATAATTTTTCTTTCCCTATAAATAATTAACTAATTTTAAATGTCCTCAAAACTGGTTTTTGTCTCTTAGGTAGATACAACCTGATCTGAAATACGCGTTCTGATTATACCTATTCATGATTTTACTAGAAAATCTTACAAATTATTAATTTTATTATACCTACTTCAACACCTGCTTGCCTTGCCTCTATATTTAGTACCTAATTTCTTGTCTATAGACTTTCATTGATGTTACTACATTTCTCATGAATCAAAGACAATTTCCAAGAAAAATCTGTATGTACAATATATATTTCATCTGTTTCATAAATATTCAAGTGGATGTACCACTACACTTATGACAAAGTAACTGAATGCAATTTACAAGTAACTTATATGGACATGTTAATATTGTTACATTGTCATCATTGTTACTGTGATTTACTCTTGATTCTTACTTCATAACTTGTCGTGTAGGTACCTAATCATTATCTACATACGTAATAAAAATAAAATTTGTTAGATAATTAATAGGGGAAACCCGTTATTTAAAATTATCGCTACATGACTTTTCTTAATCCTAAAAATTTAAGTCAATAATTATTTCAATCGATGTTTTTTATTCTTATCTAGCGACCCGCCCCGGCTTCGCACGGGTGCAATATGCATGTATTATACATATAAACATTCCTTAAGAATCGCTCTATCTATTAAAAAAACCGCATCAAATTCTGTTGCGTAGTTTTAAAGATCTAAGCATACATAGGGACAGACAGACGGCGGATTGCGACTTTGTTTTATACTATGTAGTGATAGGATGGCATTTGGCCACCATCTCGCCTGGTGGTAAGCGATGATGTGGCCGACGATGGAGCACGTCTACCTATAAACAACCTGTCATTCGGGACTTGAATACTTACATCCAAATTGTATTTTTTAGGGAACACAGATTTCGGCAAGGAATTCCATTCCTTAGCGGTTTGCACAGTGAAACTGTTGAATTGATGTCAGATTATTCTTCACTCACACACTTAAGAAAAAACAGTAGGTACCTTTTGCATATTACGAACAGTTACGAATACTATGTTACTAAAAAAATATGGAAGCCATCGCTATGGCTATATTAAAAGGTGAATAGTTACGTTACTGCCTGTTTTATGTAAAAAAATAAAGTAAACTGCGCATATCAAATATCAAACGAATATTTTTTGTTCCTTTACATCATCAAAACTTATTCAAATGAATATAAAATTAGTTGTTATTTTAGTTTTTTCAATACAATATCAAGTTATAAAAATAACATAAGTATTTTATCGTTCAACAAAAACAAAATAATAATAAGAGGCATAAAGTTCGGTATAATAAGTCGAAAAAAATTTACCTAATCTTCAGCAGTGTCTTAAAAAACTTATAAAAGATGTCTTACAAAATAGCTATACTACGATCAATACAGCAATTTAGGAGAATCATCGTAATAGATCGACACACAAAAGCCAAAGCACGTCAAATGTTATAAAAACTATAAATATAATAATTACACGCTTGTAAATTCCCAAAATCGGCTCACAAATAAACCAAAAACAAAAGGTGATTATGTTGTTAAAGTTGTTTGTAATAAATAAGTATCAATAATATTGTGGTTTATAATACCGTCAAATCGATACACGATCGGGAACTATGTGCGTCATAATGCATGCGATTTTTTGCTGGAATAAGTAAAGTATGTACCTGTCTATTGCCCTGTAAGACACATATTCCATTTGTCAAGATTTCTTAGTTATAATTCATTGATAGTTGTTGTCCTTAGATAGTTCTTTAATAGTTCTTAGATAAAAATGTAGTTCTTTTGATAAAAGAGTACCTACATCATTTCCAAACTTTCGCATACATTTCCCACCCAAGTCATAATATCTGAATCACACAAAACATTACTCCGTACGGAAACCTGCGACCCGTTGTCAAAATCAATCATTTTAAATAACGCTTTTGCATTACAAAAGAAATGTTCCATGTTTGACATATTTTCGCAATAAGTACCTGAAAAATCTAGTTTTCTGACAATGTAGACTTAGTAATTAGTCATGTAGTATTTGCTATGCTAATCAGTGTTAGTGCTAGACTAGTTTTTAATAATAAAGCCAATTGTCCATGTATTTGTCGTGGTACTGTCGAAGGACTAGGTTTAGACGCGATAATTATAAAGAATAATATTTACGATGCGCGGACGCTAAGGTCGTCGAATAGACGTGTATTTTGACGTACAGCGTACACTACCTCTACATTAATGTACAAATACATTTTATAGTAAGATAGATATAGATAATAATAAAAATTTGGTAAATTAAAAAAAAAAATACTAGATTCAAAGTAGGTACATTTATAATCTAAGCCGCTGAAGTCACCACCGATATTTCATAGCAGAATCTATTAAATAGATATTTAAATACCTACAGTACTTTTATGCATCAATCAGCAACATCCATAAAATCTATAATATCCAAATTGCATACCTAGTTGAACGAGGAAGAAATAACTGAAAATAATTCCACAATTTCCAACCAAATCCACGTTTACTTCTAATAATAAAAGCCGCAGACCCACCTTATCAGCAAGGATACGTTATGTAATGAACTCATAAACTCCACGCAATACTAGTACATAATACGAGTAAAAAACGCAAGTGGTCAAGGAATGTTACGTGTACAGAACTCGATATCGCCACAAAGGCCGGCTAAGGAACTTAGTTCCGTTATTATGATATTAGCTCTAAGGTACTACCTCGTACCTATACATGGATACTAGATGCATTGCGGTCTTGTTCTATTCCGGATCGAACAAAAAGTGTTGGAGTTGTCATTCTTAACAGCAGGTTCTATAACAACTTTTCTATGACCCAAAAGCTAATAAAATATCTTTAATACCACTTGAATCATCTTTTATTGACTCCACATGGTGGGATATCTACATGGAGCCCCCTTGCCTGGCGAGGACGAAAGGGACTGTCAGACT